ATAAAGTACGCGGATACCTTTAGAAAGAGCTACGTTTTTAAAAGATCGTTTTATACGTGCGGCACGATAATATTTGAGTATGTTTCCAATCTCCAATGAGTTTAGCATTAAGAAACATGGAAGCACACAGAAGTTTTGATGCTTTAAGACATGAGGAATGTAAATAAACGGGCACCTAACGGAGCAGAACTTTGTTACCATGAGCCTTGGGGACGTGGAAAAACATATTGGCCATCTGAGGGAGATTAATTTCTAGTGTGAGTGGAAGCAGTGAAGCCCAACAGAAACCCAGTGTTGGTCCAGATATGCAGGAGAATTAACTGCATGGAGTCGGCCGCAATGTGGATTCTGCTGACTTCTGGGTCCAGTCTGGATCATGTAACATCTCCAGGCTATTTTACATCTATCAGGTTTTCTGTTGTCGGGCTGTTGTCTGTTTCTCAGATTTTCAACGGCTTAAACATCGAAACTCTGTCAAGATGTTATTGTGTAGTCCTCCCTCTAAGCTCTCTGACATCATCAGCCTGCAAACATCTAAATGATATTATTTAGAGTTGTTGAATGCACATCTCATACCCTCACACCCTTCCTATGTGGACAGATTCTGGAGAACTTGGAGAAAGGCTTGGCTGAGGATGGCAGCATGATCACCTTAACGCCGGAGAACAGGGAAGGTAAGCGCACACACACACACACACGCGCACTGACACACACACACTGACACACACACACACAGACACACACACAGACATTGGGCTACAGACCTGGCTGCAGTCCCAGACTGCATCACACTGTGGGAGGAGGGTGAGGTCAGGGGCCTCGATGGCTAGCACACACACACACACACACACACACACACACACACACACACACACACACAGACACACACACACACCTGGTGCAGGACTGCAGCATACGTCAGACACACACACACACACACACACTGCCTGAGCCACACACCAATGCGGTGCTCTAAAAGTGTTTAGCACCTCACTGCTCCGGTACTCTCGCTGAATATCAAACGCTCTCTCCAGCTCTTCACGCCAAGCAGATCAATACCGATCAATCCCACCAATCCACTCACATCTGCACTGGAAACCGGCCCACCTCCGTCTCAAATTCGGGTGGACACCTGATGCAAAAAGCTTCGTTTTTTTCCTCTTGTCGTTTCCCGATCGTCATCTTTTCGAGCGTTTTTTTTAAATGCTTGAATCTATTGTTCCCTGAATATCCGCTCGCTTATTTCCCAGATTGGCGAAGGGGGGCCACGCGTTCATCCAATTTCTCAAAGCCTGGAAAAAGCCGGATAAGAGCCACATCCGCTGTTTCTCCTCCTTTTACCCACACAGTGGAGTCAGGCCTTGCCTTCACACATCAGAACCCCACCGAGTGATTAGCCCCTCTCTTTGGCTCACATACAAACACATGTGAAG